GCATTCTGGTTCATCAGCCAAGCAATTGCATTCATAGTAATCATATTGCACATTCACAAATTATCTTGGGCAATAGAACGGAAACAGCATTGATGAGGTACTCGGCAATGAGGTGGCTGATTAGTTTTTAAAGTTCTAGAGCGTTTGGTTCTGATGAATACACTGATAATTTGTGACTGATTTGAGTCTGACTGAAAGGGTAGGAGTTGACTTCGATATAGATAAAACTGAATATTAATGAAGCTATGAAATACTTCACGTTTTGGATCATTCAAGTGAACGTTTGAAAATGGCTGTTTAAAACTAATGATTGTAGTCGATAGAAAGGAAAACTATGCAAAAGTTTAATAATAAGATGATGTAGCACAATCACGTGCTTGCACATAAGCTTATGTATTTCCTCAACATTAACATTAACGGCAAAATTGGCTCAATAAAGTTTTGATGTTGACTACTTGCGATATTCAAAAACGTTGGGATATTCAGTGTTGTCACTCAAACGTGGTATTGGGATACTCAAATGGGATACTCAAAAACGTGGTATTTCTCACCAACAATACAGNGCGAATAAGCTCTCAATTTCAGTATCTGCTTGCTAAGAAAAAAATAATAACACTGTCAAAACTGACAATTAGTGATAACGGATGAGAAGATAATAGATAAGTATAATGAAGAGATTCAAGAGGATATCAGGTTCAGTTTCACTAGGTCTGAAAAACGAATTCTTTCAAACGTAACTTTCCGCACATTCAGACTAGTTTTCGGAAGGTGCCCCCTCGGAGGATTCCCCGGGTGGGGGGAAGGGGGGGGGGTTCTGTGATGATTTCAGGTGAGTCATTATATGCATGGGTGTATGAAAGAGATTGGTCCAAATTCTGGGGGCATTAATCTAACAGTAAGTATATTACTGCATCATTTTGAACAAATTTTCAGAGGAAGTTCGCTCTAATTACTGCAAGAAGTGCACTCGAATGATTAATACTACGAAGAATAATATGCAGTTGGAAAGGAAATTAACAGATGGAAATCTGTTATGAGCAGATGTCAATATTTATGAGTTCTTAATTTCTTAGATAACTTTACGGGGAAGCAATCATTAACTTAAATTGAAGTCCCGAAGATGAATAAGACATGAACTTTCGATGTTATGATAAGATCATACATTGGCTGATCACCATGACAACTTGTCTTGATTAGCTATTCAATTATTCATGCAATATATATCAGATCTCGAGATATTTTTAAGAAGTAAGGATTTCTTAATGAAGTGATGAGGAGGTGATGTTTGACGTTAAACTTTAAAACACTGTTTTCATATTGCGCGTTTATATCATTTTTTGTTTCTGAAATAAAAAGACTTCATTTCGACCATTCACCACCCGCCACCTTGAAACTATCGCACTTAGATCGAAAGAATCTTCAACAACTTTCGAACATTTTTTTTNTTTTTTTTGTTGTTCCATGAACACGCACAAATGAGTGATGTGAATTAGTATTCTAGCCTTCGGAAAATTTCTCCAGATTTCTGCTTCAGAAATTCAACACGAATAGATAAACTGCATATATCCATTTAGCACGACTAGATAAAGCTCCATAAAGCTCTAAGGCTCCATTTAACACACACTAGATAAGCTGTGCATATTGCTGATCAAATAAACTTCAAGATTATCGAGAGTGCAGCCAATTGAGAGAGACATTCAAGACAAGCCACTGAAATGAGGAAAATCACAGTATTAGAAAATGAAGGAACCGGTTCGAATCCGTGTTGCTCTTGAAGCATTCGAAGTCGAAAGCTGGCATGAGCGCCTCTGAAACCGCGTGAACGAAATGATACTGGTGGTCCTGTTGTGCTTGTAGTGGTTGCGGGAGCTTCTGGAGTTGAAGGTTTAGTTTGAGTTACTGCATCCGATCCTGCGGTATCTGGTGCGGTGCTTTTCGCCACTGCACTAGATGAGATCTCGCACAATTGCTCCGACTAAACGGCCACAATTATTCACTTGCTACAGAATGCTATTCTTCTAAGATAGCTCGAATTATGATGACTGTAAATGAACTCCTAAATGAAACATGATCTTCTGATCAAGACCGATCAAAACAATTCATCTGTGAGATTTATATTTGGATCTGTGTATGTCTCACTTAATTTAACCTTTCTTCTGTAATTATCGTCAACTTCAGAGGTCTGCGATCAAGCTGCATTGCTCTCATTTTGTGCTTTCCAGAATGTTCAATCAGTTAATAAAAATGTTAATAATCAATGTTTGAAGCCAGAAAGAAAAGCCTAAGGCGAGAATTCGAGAAAATTAAGAAAATTACGCAAACGAAATGATGCGAAATACCGATTTTGATGCAATTGAGCTTTCCTCAGCTGTGGTTGATAGGCGATGCGCGTTGAAACCATCGGAAAAAGCGTTCGATGAGTGTGGTGGTGTTGGCTGCTTATCAGTTTCCATCGTTTTTCTGGCCTACGATTTCAATTATTTGGATAACCAAAAATTTCAACGCTCTCGAAACTCGAAATTGCTTTGATATAAAATCAAAGCAATAAGCACATTTACAATTACATTTTACAACTCTATGAATGGTTATGGAATTTGAAATGCGAACTTTCAAAACAAATCAATGGGACAAAAAGTAAGTGTCTTTTGGAATTATGTTCCATAGTTGATTCGAGTTACTTATTATAAAGAATTTCAGTTTTAACAAGTATCGATCTTGTCACACATGTTTTTCAGTAATTTGCCAACGTACTATGTCTGAAAAAGTTTCGTTTAGCTTCTAAATTGTAGTGAAACATCAGTGTAAATTCTGCTAATTCATAAACACTAACAGCTGAATGAATGACAAGTTATAAATCGAAGCGAAACTTTATCAATATAAATGGCTTCATTAATAGGAGGAATCAGCTTTTCGTTAAGACCAGAAACGTGATGAAAACTAAACTCGTTGATCGTAGTCTCTGAAATATTTCCATAACCTCTGAAGGCTTTCTAGGAACACTCGAAAATTGCCGGTTTGCACCACAATCAATATACGCATTGAAATCAGCATTTTCACTCGTAATCGTCACTTAGAAAGATTTACTCCTTCAAGTAGGTTGGCTCCCTCAAATTCGCCTTTGCGTTAGCTCGTAAGGTTTTTCCGTCGAGTATTTTGCAAATTCCCCATGAATAACCAGAATGTACATCTGATCACGCATATCTACAAGCCATTCAACACCAACACGATGAATGATGGCTTTCGCTTATGCTTAAGCAGTGACGATGAAGGATACAAATCTATTCTTTATGATTTGGAAAGTAAGTTGATTTGAATACATTGTGCATTGTCGACTACTGCATGAACAAGCAGATAATGCCTATTTGTAACGAAATGTTCGCGAGGTGAACGTTATGACATAAATGATCAAAATATATGCAACGTAAACCATTCCACGAGATGATGGTTGGGCAATTATTTTTAAGTGCGTAATCTTTTTGGATGGCGAAAGATCTACGAAAATGGATATCGAGGCGGGCATTCGGCGGAAAAATTTTCCGTATCCTAGCTGAAATACTGATCGACATACGGAATGATATTACAAATTGACGATATGACATACTGCATTGGCTGACCAACTAATCTTCAGCTCGAACAATTCAATTCTATCCGTAATCAGCTTCAAGCAAATACAAAATCTAGGCTTATTTTTTTTTCGAGGNATTGATAGTTCACAGATTAAGACAATCAACATTTTGGCGACTAAACGCATTCGAAGAATATGATCAAATGAGAAACGATATTAAGGTGCTTCGGAGATGAACGACTTCTTCTCGATGCAGATTATCTTAAGAAACACTTCATCTACACAGCTCTTCTCCTAATGACGGTTTTCTTAGTCGAAGCACATCTATAATCGGTGAGGTTGTGTCGAGCATAGAGTTTGGATAGTAACGACCATACCCTACACATCATCAGTGGCGTTATCCTTATCACTTTGACTAATGTCATCGTTATTACTATCAAGACTATCCACACACTAATATAATCATCCTGATTGCTAACACCCTTACGACTACACCCACTTATGACCGCAATGGCTAGAAGTTTAAAACACCTCCATGTCTAATCAATGCAAGTGTTCCATAAAATTCTCATGTTCATGGATTTAATATATGAAAAGTTCAACGCTTTGAAAGACAGAATTTTTTCATTTAACATCACTTGGCTACGATAAGTTTTGACTGTCAATTTCCAAAACAATTCGTAAATATGAATTCCGAGAAACTCCTGATAAAAGGTGGATTTTATAGCGCAAAAATTCCATTCCATCAAAAACTAAAATCCTGCGTTTTTAGATCGAAAGTCATTGATATGATGCAGCACAATCAGTCATGTTTCTATTCCACTCAAACTGCATCATTTCTGTTCTATTCTAAGGAATGCAGATTGCAGTTCTCAAAAAAAAGGATGCGCAAAAGACAATAGAACAGTCGTGACGAGCTGAATGGAACAGAACAGTTCTCAAGAATGCTACGCACAGAACAGGATGAAAGATAAACTGATAAACGGAATAGAACAAAATGGAATGTTTTGCAAAAATCCTGGAATAGAAACATAACTAAACATAGCACATAAGTTGACAATGACGATTGAATATTTTCGTAATTTATTTATTTAGCAGTAAACTTATCGAGTGCGTATTCAGAATCAAATCGAATCACCAAACGAGCGCGACAGTAACAACTTTTCTCGCAGTAGGCATCGTATTAATTTTTCATGAGCTAACACCTCAACCGGACGAATGCATATGAAATGAGTGGAAATTGTCCACCTGCAAAACTAGTTCTCAAAACTACTATGATTATAATCCAGTGGCCGTAAACCTCGTCGGAGACAACATCAGAAAGTACTGCTATGAAATAATGATTTCATAAACTAATATGATATCAGCATTCAATACCGGTGGATGTCAAACGTATCCAGACAGTCGACTCATAAGTTGCTAAGAACCACGACAAGTGAATTCATCATTAATCGCATCTAAATGTTTTTATACATCATTCAAATATCAGTTAATGACTCTTCAAACTCTTCCCAATAATCTTCTGATATCCATCATATCTAAAGCTAAAGGTTTACCTTAAGTCTGTCATTTACTGCAAGAATCTTTCTATTTAATTCATCACATATTAATGAGTTAGTGATGCAAATAAATGAGTCAACATTGCTTCCTACGATAGTATTACTGGCTTTTTACATGTAACGAAAACAAAAGTGCATAGGTGTGGGTCTTCATAGGAGGATCGTTTCTGTTTGGAGGATTCTTATCGTAAAAGGGCTTCAAGTAAATCTCAAACTGAAAAGAGTTTTTCAAAGACTGAATAGATACGTATCTGTCAATTGCCCAGTCTAATGATCACATAGAATTTAACAGCTATGCAGGTTTTTTCTTCCTTCATCCCCTTCTCCCCCCCCCCCCCCCCTCCCCGAAATAGTCTCTTCCATAATTTCCAGCACTGAGGGTTTCCTCGGGCATTTTCATTTCGAACGCAAAATGATTGTGGTCGAACTGCTGTAGGCGAAAATTTCAAAAACCGTAAGCTACATGGGGAAGTTCATTTTAAGTATAGTTGACTCTTCAAGTCGACTAAAACAAAACCAGGTTTCGAGTTAAACAATTCAGAGATCATATTGTACTGTTCTACATTCATTAAACACGGAGGTGATTTCATTAGTTAATTGAAATAAACTGTCGAATTGCTTGATGAATGCAGATTATGAATATCTGATAAGGTTTATTGTGAACGTTAACACTCGTAAATTTTTTATTGTTATGCAGAACAACTCATTATTTGGTCGTGTTTACTCATATTTGCATAATTTTTACGCAAAAAATTTTCATCTGGAGCACTAAAAACATCGATAAAGTCAACTATACATTGCAATATTTCATAAAAATCGTGAAAATCACTTAAACACTTCAGTGTAGTGTATATGCTTCGAGTTAAACATTTGCAACTACTGATGAGAAAATAAAAAGAGTGAAATCCATCCAGAGGACTTCATCAGAATCTATTTATATCCTTTAAAACCTAAAGAAAGGCAGGTATTCGCCGACTTACGACTGCAATTGGGGTCCGTGACAATTTTGTCGTAAGCCAGATTTGGTCCTAAAGCTGACCGCAGTTATAAAACAACCAAAAACTATCCATATTTTCTCTTATAAATAAATATTTCCTTATGGAAATTATTACGAGCAACGTCTTCGCATACGCGCTTGACGGTTTTAACTTTCTCCGAATAGCTTATGAATACAATTTTAATGATGCAGCACAAGAACCTTGTAAAATACAAGGTGATCAATAAGATACAGTATACCGACAAATTTTCAAATGCGACTTAATTTGCGTCCACATTTCCNCAGAAATGAAGGCATGTGTTGAAAGCTCAAAGGTAATAATTCATATTAAAAATTATAACGAAGTACACCAAAAAACAGAAACACATCAAAAAATTTATAGTTTATAAACTCGATGTAAATGTAGTCTGCATTAACATTTCGTTTAGTAAACCACTAATGGTGAAAGTGGATACACTGAGTTCAGTGCAGTTCACTAATGAGCATTGTTTTATCTGCTTAAACATCAATATGTCATTGCTATATTCTTGAAAGAATTTTGCTAATTGAAAGCCTTTAGCTGCAGAAAATTGCTGCAAACCACCGTGGCAATTGCGGTTTGTCGTCAGTTTAACAGTCAAATGCATTTAGGAACACTTTCTGTGCGTTCAAAAAACAAAAAATGATACCTATGGCTTTGTTTGCTACACATATCACTATGAGAATAAATATTATCATCTTGCTTTTTTCTGTTGACACTTTTTATTAAGGCATTCTCGCTCTGAAACAGTTCAGACAAAGACACACCTTTTTTCACAGGAGAATCAAGTGTTTCAAATAAACGGGTCTCAGAGTGATCAATTGAATACTGTGAGGTCATGCTTCACTGTGGTTGAAGGCAGTCTGGAAATTGCATCTTGTCTTCTGAGTGATAAACGTTGTCAAGAATTGAAACTATTGACACGATTCCCATTTTCAAAACCATCATAATTGTGATCAATTAATATTCCCATTGAATCTCCTATAGGTACAGAAATTTACCCTAATGAAAATGAGCATCGCGGGATCTTCAGCTCAGACTAGAGGATAATTGAAGATGATAATTTCAAGAGGATAATCTCAGTTTGCCTCAAATCTGTATGTGATTATCTCCGCATTTTCGAATCTGCTAACTCCGAGAGAATACATCGCAGGCTGATGAAGAGCTAAGAAGTTGTGGTTGAACTCAGTTTTGAAAGACTGGCTTCCCCACAGACTGTTAGCATACGGTGTTCTCTGGCTTGGAATTGGCTACGTCACATTTTGAAATTGAGACGATTTCATTTCGAATTTGAGTTCATCTGAATTTTGATT